GAGAGAGAGAGAGAGAGAGAGAGAGAGAGAGAGAGAGAGAGAAACCAACAGAGAATATGTATGCTGGTGTGAGATAGAAAAGGAGGAAGTTAGGCTACAAGTGAATGCAGTGTCTTGAGGGCCAGTGTTTTGCTTCTCAGGGGTGGGGACCAGAACCTGCTCCCGACGATGAGCCGGTCCTTGTCGGTGCCGGATTCAGGCCCCCTCTGGGACTTACATACCTCAGCTTCATCACAGTCAGGTGAGTGCCAACCTGCCCCATGCCACATCCTGGTCCCTTTACCCCGAGTCCCTGCTTGTCACACTCAGGCTCTGCTTCCTATCTGTGGGTGGTTCCGCTGGGCTCGGGCCTCTGCAGCTGCCTTTCCTTCTGCAGGTGGTGAGGCCAGTCTTTGGGACATACCAATTAACTCTTCGACTCAGGGTCCAATTCTAGAACAACTCCAGCTGCAACATAAAGTAAGTAGCAGGCTGGCCTGTCGAAGGCTGGTTGAAGCAAGTGCAGCCTCCCAGCTAACTAGCTCCTTGTCACGGCAGTTTCAAGAGCGCAGAGAAGTGGAGCTCAGGGCGAAGCGGGAGGAAGAGGAGCGCAAACGCCGTGAGGAGAAGCGCCGCCAGCAGCAGCAGGAGGAGCAGAAGCGGCGGCAGGAGGAGGAGGAGCTCTTTCGACGCAAGCAGGTTCAAGTCTCACCTGTCTCCTGGGCCTGCCTGTGCCTGGTGCCAGCCACCCACCAACACCCACTGTGTCCTCACATAGGTTCGGCAGCAGGAGCTGCTGCTGAAGCTGCTACAGCAGCAGCAGGCAACGAATGTCCCCGTGCCCCCTGCACCGAGCTCCCCGCCCCCACTCTGGGCTGGCCTGGCCAAGCAGGGCCTGTCCATGAAGACTCTGCTGGAGCTGCAGATGGAAAGTGAGCGGCAGCTGCACAAGCAGCCGGCACCCCGGGATCCTCTGCGGGCCCAAGCCCCCAACCACCGAGTGGTAAGCAGCAGGGGTTCCAGGGAGCCCTTCAATGCAGCTTCCAGAATCACTGGGGGCGGGGGGGAGGGTGCATCCCTAAGCATAGACTCCTAAAGCCGGAGGTTTGGTTCTTTCCATTATTGGAAGGATGCCCCCTTAACCCCCCCCCCCCAAATGAGCTTCCTTGCCTCGGTGGCCAGGGCTCCATTGTAGAGCCCCCTGACTTCCTGCCATTTGCAGCAGCTTGGGGGCTTGGGCACTGCCCCTCTGAACCAGTGGGTGTCTGAGGCTGGGCCACTGTGGGGCGGGCCAGACAAGAGTGGGGGCAGCAACAGTGGCAGCCTGGGACTCTGGGAAGACACCCTCAAGAGTGGCGGGAACCTGGCCCGAAGCCTGGGCCTAAAGAACAGTCGGAGCAGCCCGTCTCTCAGGTGGGTGAGACACTGTTTAGCTTGGGTCTGTCTGGGAGGGGTGGGTGCTAAGCTCCTGGCTCACCTATGACCTCCAATTTCCCACCTGCCTCAGTGACTCATACAGCCACCTGTCAGGTCGCCCTGTTCGCAAAAAGACAGAAGAGGAAGAGAAGTTGCTGAAGCTGCTACAGGGCATCCCTCGGCCCCAGGACGGCTTCACCCAGTGGTGTGAGCAGATGCTACACACCCTCAGCACCACGGGCAGCCTGGATGGTAGGAAGGCAATCCTGGGAGGCCATGTTGGCACTGGGGACTCCAGACCTGTCCAGCATGCTTGACTGTCCCCTCCCCATAGTGCCCATGGCTGTAGCGATCCTCAAGGAGGTGGAGTCCCCCTATGATGTCCATGATTATATCCGTTCCTGCCTGGGGGACACGCTGGAAGCCAAAGAATTTGCCAAACAATTCCTGGAGCGGAGGGCCAAGCAGAAAGCTAGTCAGCAGCGGCAGCAGCAACAGCAGCAGCAGCAGCAGCAGCAGGTGGAGTCTTATGGGACTTGGGGAGGCAGGGTGCCCAGGACTCTCCTGACACTACTCTTGTTTGCCTTAGGAGGCCTGGCTGAGCAGCACCTCCCTGCAGACAGCCTTTCAGGCCAACCACAGCACCAAACTGGGCCCTGGGGAGGGCAGCAAGGCCAAGAGGCGGGCGCTGATGCTCCACTCGGACCCCAGCATCTTGGGTAAGCATGGGGTGTTGGGGAGCTCTGCTTTCCCTGTGCTGGCCGGCCATAGGACCTGGAAACTCACCCTCACTTCTCCCCTGGCTTCAGGGTACTCCCTGCACGGCCCTTCTGGTGAGATCGAGAGCGTGGATGACTACTGACCAGCCTGTCCCACCAGCCCCCTGGGCTTTAGGCTTGGGTGGTGGCAGCGGTGACATGGACCCTCGGGTCTCCAGCCTGCAGGCTCCCAACAAGGAGCAGAGGAGGAAGCAAGTGGGGCAGGGTCCCCAGCACTTGTTACAAACCACACGATGCACCTTAACTCACCCACCACGAGGCACTTTACAGATGGGGAGGGGCTTTTCTTTTTCTCTTTAATTTTAAATGTTAGGAGAGACAAAAGTATCATTCAAATACTAGACTGTAGACCCATTTGCCCTTTTGGGATAATGGGTGTGACATTGGAAGGTCCACAGAGGTTTTGTTTTGGGGTTGTTTTTTTTTTTGTTTTGTTTTGTTTTGTTTTTTTGTTTTTTAAGAAAAGATGAAAAATAATGAAAAAAAAAGAAAGTTAGGCTGAAAGAAAAAAAATCACACTGTTATTTTGGGGCAGTGGGTACCAGGCCCCATGGAACTGTTCTGCCTGGCTCCCCTAAGGCTGCACTTACCCTGCTGCCCCAGAAGGTGGTCATTGGGGTAACTGGAAGTTGGGTGCTGGCAGTTTGCACAGCAAGGCCCTCTCCAGAAGCCCTGCCCACTGGACCCGCTGTGACAGCTCCTTGTGGTGGTTACTGTGGCGGGTGTCCTGGTGAGGGGACCACAAAGTCGCCCCTTGCCTCGGCTGCTCTGGAGGAACATTGCACAAATTGGACGAGCAGCATCAGCTCACTCGCCCTCAACCCCTGAACAGCCCTCTCACACTGGGGAGCTGGGGAAAGAGCTGCCAGTGCCAGCCTGTCAGAGGTGGGCTCTGAATTCAGGCCTGCTGAGGGGCTGCCCCCACTGCTGCCATTTCGGGGGACAGCCTGGGTATGACACTGAAAGCCCCAGCTCCCTGCCTTTGCCACATGAATGTATTCTCTGGCCCCCAAGCCTGTCTCACCCCCTCCGAGAAGGGACATAGCCCTTCCTCCAGAAGCTGGAGAACACCAACCTCTGTCATGGCCAAGTCCTTGCTGGTGTGAGGGAAAGACACCGAAGGGTGGCTTGGGGCTGTACCTGTGGTGGTGGGGCCATTGTGGGAGCCCCCTGATCTGCAGCCAGCTGTGGGAAAGCAGACCACAGCTCTGCACCTGACCCTCCAATGACCAAATGGAGAGAGCGAGCAGCCCCTCTCCAGGATGTGTTCTGTTGGGTATAAGCTGGAGGTAAAGAGCCTGTGTCCTGGGCTGGGGGCCGCCTTGCCTGTTGCTCACCGACTTCACTCCTAGTCCCTTGTCTGGGCTTGTCTCCGTTGTTGGTTGGCCTTTTTTTTCTTTTTTCTTTTTTTTTAAATATGCTCTTACATTAGTGAATTCTCCCATCGACCTCATTGCTCAGAATGCAGTATTAGGGCGAGACTGCCACTGCCTCCCCTCCATGAATGTATTTCTCTTTTCTGTCCTGAGGAAGTGGGGAATGGCCCCAGTTTCTTCTTTCCCATCTGTCTCCAGAGAGGCGACTTTTCATTTTCACTTTTCTTTATTGTTGTTCTTTTTTTTTTTCTTTTTTTTTTTTTTTTTTTTTGCACCAAAGTGGCAACTGGGTCAGTGTTGGGGATAAGGCTGGCCTCTGGGTGGAAAGTCCTCCACCTGCTTCTCCCTGGTTTCGACAGTGTTAGTGTCTGTGAAAAGACAATATTCTCTCTAAAGCAATAAGGGGGTGATGGGCCAGGGGGAAATGTCTTGCTGCTGCTGGCCCCCCAGCTCCCCTTCCCTCTTGCCATTATGGTGGCACTGGAGGATGGGAGAGACTCCTGTTGTGACTGAATGTAACCTACCCTGCCCCTGCCACAGCCAATGCAGGGGAAGGGGGGCACTTGTCTCTTCCTACCCCTTCCCCCAGCTAAAGAGACTTTGAACTTAGGGGGCCCATGAGCCTGGAGAGGCCTTAACCCTGTGAGGAAGTGTAGGGGGAGCCCTCTCCCACCCCATCCCCTCTGAGAGTGGTCAATGTTTACAAGCCCTGAGCCCCTACCCCAGGGGCTCAGACACCCCACCCCCACCCCTTCTTAATCCTTTCTCCTTCCCAGTCTTACAGGGCCCTAGCTGCTCCACCCCCTCTTGGGGTTCAGGGTAGGGTAGGTGTCCTGTGTGCCCCAGTTTACCCCTACCTCTACCCAGTGTGAGTTCCCTTCTGCCTACCCCTGTAAATACTCCCAATAAAACTTGGTGTGTTCTCCCAGTCCATCTTGTCTGCTGGCTTTTTCATGGCAGTGAGCCTGGGCAGGGGCAAGAGTTGGGTAGGGTTGTCTCTGGGAACTGCTGGCCTCAGGTTTGTGTAGAATACCCTCTGTCTACAGCTTGGAGGAGCCTCATACCCACTGCCTGCCTGCTTTGTGGGGGAGGGGGATAGCAAGCAAGGAGACTACGTACAGAGTTGGAAGTGGTTCCTTTATGGAAAAACTGAAAATATAATAAAAATTAAAATAAAACCAGTTTAAAAAAGCCAGCCCCTGGAGTTTCCACCTCCTGCCTCTGGCCCTCCAGAGGGGTGAGGCCCCAGCCCCAGGGCAGCAAAGGGTGAGGGCTTTCCTGCCCTTCCGCTTCCCCCATTCCATCCCGACTTTTATCTCCACAGTGGGGGCCCCTCCCCCCCGGGAGGAACCAAACCTGGGTATAGGAGCAGGACCCAAGGCCCTGTAGCCCAGGGAGGGAGGCTTGGCATGTGTACCCAGCCCCAAAGCTCCGGGCCTGTAGTGTGGGCATGGGCAGGGATGCTGCTCCCTGCCTTGGCCCATCTGGGGTTGGGGGTGGTTAGTTCCAGATCTTGAGGAAGGAGTCCCAGGAGCCTGTGGCCACAGCCATTCCATCATCTGTGACCCCAAGGCAGCTCACACGGTTATCGTGGCCAGCGAGAACACCTAGAGAAGAAAAGGACACAGTGACTAGTCTGGCCCACACTGTATACCTGTACCCTCTGTGGGCCCCAACACGGGCCTCCCTTACCTGCACGGTCACCCTTCATGGCATCCCAGATGTTGCAGTTGAAGTCATCATAGCCCGCGAGCAGCAGCCGGCCGCTGCGTGAGAAGGCAACCGAGGTGATGCCGCAGATGATGTTGTCATGGGAATACATGAGCAGCTCCTGATCAGCCCGCAGGTCAAACAGGCGACATGTGGCGTCATCTGATCCCGTGGTGAAGGCATAGCCATTGGGGAAGAACTGTAAGATTTGGACCGGAGACCATAAGCATGTTGGGCAAGGCCAGGGACATGGAACACGTGGGGGTGGGGGTTGGGCAGGGCTATCATGATGCTCCCAACTTACAGCCACGGCATTGATGTCAGATTCATGACCTATGAATGTCTGTCGGCACATGGAATCCCGAACATCCCACAGCTTGATGGAGGCGTCACAGGCACCTGACACAAAGGTGCGGCCATCGGGGGCCAGTGACAGGGACATCACATCCCCACTGTGTCCAGCAAAACCCACCGTCTGCTGGCCTGTCTCAATGTCCCACAGGGCACTGGAGAGGTGACAAGACGAAGGATCAGAAATGAATTGAAGGATAGAATTCCTGACTCTCCTGCCACATGAACCCAAACTTGACAGGACCCTCTGGAAAGAAGGCCTGGAGCCCTAAGTGCTGCAGGAGCCACTCGGCCCCCACCCAGGGGAGGAAGCTAGGTGCTCAGAAATGTGCCACCTGCTGGGCCCTGGATCACCCGAAGGCAGGGAACCCAGCCTGGCAGAGCCTCACCAGGTGGTATCCCCAGAGCTGGTGATGATTTGGTTGTCGTCCAGGAAGCGGCAGCATGAAAGGTACCCTTGGGAAAGGAAGTTGTAGTCAGACATTTCATCAGAGAGGCCATGTATTGTCTCCCCTCCCCTGATCGTGTTCCTGCCTTTCCTTCAGGCTCTACTCACCAGTGTGGCCAGGCAGCTCTCTGCTGACCCTGACATTGCCCTCTCGGGTCTTGAGGCTATAGATGGAGCAGATGTTGTCCAAACCCCCACAGGCTACAAAGTTCCCTGAGGGGGCATAGGCACAGGTCATGACCCAGGAGGAGCGCAGAGGGATAGCATGGACCTGGAGGAGAACATTACCCCTAGTTAGAGCCATCCAGGGACTGGCAGCCCTATCCTACCCACTTCGAGTACCAATTTTACCTTGTTGGTGGTGTAGCTGTCCCAAATGATGAGCTTTCCGTCCTGGGAGGCGCTGACCAGCAGCCTGGTGGGCAGTGGCAGAGTGACACAGACAAGGTCAGGGTGTGGACAACAAGGCCCTATCCCTTCCCATCCAGAGATGCTCTTCAGAAACATTCCCCCAAATCCTCTCAGTATAACCCTGCATCCCTGGTCCCCAAGGCTCAGTCTGTCCAAACTTAACTGACATAGGTTCTCCCCACCAGACCTGGGGGGACCTGGAGTGCCCCAAACCTTGTACCACCATTCTGCCCTTTATATAAAATCACCCCCAGAGCCTGGGGACACTAAAGCAGGGACCACCCACGCACCTTGAGTCTGTCCCCCAGTGCATGGCATAGATTTTTGCCAGGTGTCCACGGAGGGTCCTCCGTGTTCTCATCTGAATTCTCCCCACTGGGTCCAGCCCAGCTGTGATCTGGAACAGCAGAGAGGTTGTATTGGCACAAGGAGACCCAAGCAACAGAAGCCCATCCAATCTCCTCTCCCTTCAAGGGCCCCCAAGTAACTCTGCAGTCACCTCACCTGGGTCAGTGTGGAATCCCCGCATGCTTTTCTGGCGTCCTATAAGTGATGGGCAGAGCAGGAGAAGGGAAGTAGAGAAGCGGGGGAGGTGAGGAAAAAGTAAAGGAAACAGGAGACAAGGCAAAGAGAAGAGAGGATGAAACGGAGACATTTTGAGGTTAGGATCCCCTTTCTTCTCTCACCCTGCGAAACACACACACACACATACACACACACACACACACACACACAGCCACATAGACATCCCCGGCCACAGGCAACCCAGTCTGCTCAGGTCAAAGAGAAGCAGCACACTCAAGCCACGCCTGGCCGGCTCGGCCTCCCCAGTACAGTAGTCAGGCCCTCACCCGGATCTGGTTCCGGAGCTGCTCGGCCTCCTGTCTCAGTTGCTCCAGCTCACT